CTTGACATTGAATTACATACTCTTATTGTTAACCAACCTCTTACGGGATTTATGTTGTCTCCTACAAGTTCTCCCACATATTTATGTCTCAGAGCATTGGTGAACCCTACCTACCAGCCATTAAAATGAGGTGGTATTTGGTAGATTGGTAGCTAATCTGCATTTTGCCAAAGTAGCACCAGCAGAAGGTGGTCTGACAATAGTATCTCAGGCTAAGAATCTGTCCAGATGATTAGGGAAGAGCCAGTTCAGTCAGCTTCTCCTGTCTCTTCTGGGCTCCCTGACTTGTATTTAGAATACAATACAAATTGCAGATCCAGCTGCTGGATGATAAAGTTTTGGGAGTTCCTGCCCTCCGACCAGACACACAAAACAGCACCATCTCTAATCAAATTGGTTCGGTATAAACGGAGGGTTTATAAAATAGAACGCAATCTCAGGCAAAGTCTGTTCTTCCACACATCTCCCTTCAGCAAGTGAATCATGAGACAATCACAGGATTGGCGGGAGTGAGACCTAGGAAATATATTCAAGTGAAACTTGTTTCTTAACTAGTTCTGTCTCTGGTGATGGGAATTTGCTTGATTTTACTTACTAATAAAATTTTTGCTGCTTACATTTTAAGTACATCTGAAAAACCTGATTATGAAGTTAGAATCCATGTATCTCCTCAAATACTCTTAGAAAGCAGTGTCTTTTCATAAAAACATGAGGAGAAAAAGACGTCTACAGCACCTTTGTATTGTCTTTACCATTACTTTAATACATTTTAAAATTTATCTACATTAATTGGGAACAAAGAAAAATAGACATTTCTTTGTTTTTCATAAATAACTAATCTTCATATTTGATAAAAATCTCAAACCATTATTTTACCTTCCCACAAATATAATACATACAAAATTTTTCTGAAGTAAGGTCAACAAATGAAGTATCTTGAGACTAACATAACCACATACAACTGCTGTTTCTACTGACTCCCAGGAACAAAGCAGAGACAAAAACTCATCCAGCGGCTCTGGGTTTCCTTTTGTAAGTGTTACAGATTCAGAATTGTAATCATGTATCATCTGCCAGTCATAATTTATGAATTCAAATTGATTGTCTACAAATAAAATATCGCTGGCTCTGATGTGTAACACCTGGATTTAACATGACAGTGACTACTGCATGGGATAGGCACTATACATATATGGAAATCAGAAAAAGTATTCAATGCCCTGGACTCGAACTACTGACTCGGTATGTGCCTCATTTGGCTCAGTAATAAATTCACCTGCACCAAACCCGTATCAAAAGTCACCAAATCTTTCATATATATAATATATATTATGTATATACACACCCACAAAACATACATACTATACACACAGTTTGTAACAACATGAAATCATATGGTCTTAAAATGATGTACCCAGAGACAGACGCTATCCTGGCTGAAATAAATCCTGTAATTATCATCAGGTTGCAAGAAGCTTTTGAAAGTCTTGACTCAGGTTAGCTACTTATATTCTGCCTACCCTTCACCCATCTTTAATGTCTTGGCAGTTCTTTCAGAATGACCCCTCTCAACCTAGACAGCTTTCTTTCCCAGGATCACCTGATTGGACTTTGGAAACAAGAGCAGGCAATTCTTAGCCACTGTCCCTCACACCTGCCTACATGTGTGATGTGCTCTGTCCTGTTGGCCACATTTGGTGTTAGAAAGCAGTTATTCAAAGCTTTGTCCCTCCTACTCCCCTTGGGCTTTCTGTAGAGCACAAAAGTGAAAGAAGCTTCTTTGGCAGGGGTAGCAGTTCATTAAAATATACAACTACATTTCCTAGCTATGGGGTTCCCATTCTGTACTGGAGAGTGCAGGTCACGGATGCTGTTACTAAGGTTCGGTGTGTGATCCATGAGGTTTTCTCCTGGCAGCCAGCATCAGGATTAGTGCAGCTTCAGCCCAGGAGGAAACAGCCTAATGAATACCAACCTTGAAACAGTGCTGTCGGCACATTATTTAAGCTTGGACATGCACACAATTACACACAACACACACATGGGCCTTGGTCACTGGCAATGGTCATGAGAAAATATGACAAAGGTTTGCAAGGATAAACCAATAAGGCACCAAGAAAAATTGTTTCCAGCCAATTTGACCATTTCGAAATGTGAGAAGGGAAATCATAGAAATTAAAAAGATTTCCTAACATCTGGTCTGCTGATTCACTGAGAGGTCCCATTAGTTCCTTTAGACAACCTACCTGAATCAAATCCTCATCCCCCAAACTATTAAGTGAGGCATTGCTTAAAATCAAACTGGGCCGGGCATGGTGGCTCACGCCTGTAATCCCAGCACTTTGGGAGGCCATGGCGGGCAGATCATGAGGTCAGGAGTTTGAGACCAGCCTGACCAACATGGTCAAACCCTGTCTCTAATAAAAATACAAAAATTAGCTGGATGTGTGGTGGTGCATACCTATACTCCCAGCTACTTGGGAGGCCGAGGCAGGAGAATCACTTGAACCCGGGAGGCAGAGGTTGCGGTGAGCTGAGATTGTGCCATTGCACTTCAGCCTGGGCAACAAGAGCAAAACTGCATCTCAAAACAAAAACAAAACAAACTTAAAGGGACAACCCTGAAGCTGTACATGAGACTCAACTGGGCCCTAAGTCTGCCCCAGCTTCACAAAACTGGCTGTGACCAAGTTGCTGAACTACTCCATAACCTTTTATTTCGCAGTTGTTTTCATGAGCATGACTTGTTTCCATAATCACATGCAAATTGGGGGAAATAAGTATATGGATGGAAACAGGGGGTGGCCATAAGCAGATTCAGTTTCTCTCCCCTGGGGTGGCTGATATCAGTAAGACTTAGGGAAGCAGGTGGGCTTTTATCTTTGCCTCTCTTAGGGGATAAGGGAAGAGAGAGACAGCAGAGGTGAGAACAGAGACAAAGAAGTGCCTCTGAAAGTTGGTCTGGAATTAGACCCCTAAGATCACGACTTACATTGCCTCCCCTTAGGCTTAGCATCCTTTGTTTTAACTGGCTTATTTTTTAAAGTAAGTTAGTTGTTCAGCATGTTGCTAAAACAAACAAAAAATTCAAAAATGAATTAAATCACTTTCACCCACTTCATCCCACAGCTTTTGGATACACTGCACATCATTTCTAGATTTCTCCACAAAGAAAAGAAGGGGGAACTCAAATTAGGCACAATGACTGAAGGCAGCAGTCTGTGTACTTTCTGGGAAGACATAGGAAATGAGGGAAAAGGTCAAGGTGATCAGAAAAGGTTCTCTCATTTGAAAAACGAGAGGAATTGGCAATCAGTTAAGGGATCTATTTCAAGATTCTAGGAAGATGTTTCTTCCTAGAAGAATAAATAGAGGAATAAAATAGGCACAAAGTTCTGTAGCTATTTGTAGGAGATTTTGTAGAATCCACTGAAATTTTAATTTTGATTTGGAGGATAAGTTGGGTAAGAGCAGTGCATTTTAATAAATGTGAAGTTTTTGGGAGTCCTTAAAACTTAATACTAGGTTTCTTCCCACCAGTAAAGTGTTTCAATTCCCTCTGGGAACTATGCATTTGTCAAATTAACATCCATGAAGTAAAAACTGATCTAGGCTTAAATTTTACTTTTCCAACTTTGGTAGAAGTGAATTACACCTGCCTAGATTCTAGTTGTTTTCCTAGACAGGCTTTCTCAAATGTTAATTGCTCTGGCCATTTTAGCTTCCTAAATTTAGTCCCCAGTACTGGTCACTGGAATTTTGTTGGCTGAGGCACTGTCACCCCCTTCCCCATTAATGGCCCCACACTCTTCATGAATAAATGCTTAAACAGATTAGAAAAGCAAACAGAATTTTCTAACAGCAAAGAAACCTCTGTGTGTGTGTTCATCAATATATAGACCTTCATAATGAATGAAAGAATGGTTAAACAGATTAGTAAAGCAAACCAATTGCCAAGAAGTGTGTGTGTGTGTGTGTGTGTGTGTGTGTGTGTGTGTGTGTGTGTTCATCAACAAACAGGCTTTCTCAGAAAACTACAGAGGTAGCAAAACACTGATCTATATTTTAAAAGGTTGTGGAAGCATGTTATGGGTCTCATTTGTTTTCAGAGAGGGCAGAGAGCAACATCTTGCTGCTTTTGGACTATGTGGCTATAAACTAGTCCAAAGTCCAGGGACACTTATTTTCCCTTATTTGGGCCAATGTTTGTTCACAGGTAGCCAGCCTCCCTCTCCCAGTTCACAAGCATTTCACTCAAGGGTGGGTGTGGTTTCTAATCACAGCTCTCCAGGAGAGGAGGAATAAGAAAAAAGCAGAAAAGACTGTTTAACATGATAAAGGGGGCGTTGAGAGGGTTCGGCAAGTAAGTGTTGGAAATTTACTTTAATTATTGGCAGTACATCCATTTTAGTCCTTGTATTTAAAAAGGAGCCCCCTTTAGCAACTACCACTAAGTATTGTCCAGAGGGAGTGGGTTTATACTTTTACCGAAATTATAACACAAGTTCCTTAAAAAAAAGACGGGGGTGGGGGGGATAACTGAAGCCTAAGAACCACCCACTCCCCCTCAGGCACAAAGCTGCCAACTCACCAGCCTAGAATTCAAGCTCCACCAATAACCATCGCTTTGGGTCTCACGACTGCAAATATTTATGCCAGATTCTCTATAATGCTACCTCTCACTTATTTGAGACACAACGATGGTGAGGTTAGGAAGTGAGAATTATTACAAGCACTACAGAAAAGAAACTTAACCTACCTCTATAAACAAAGCTAAAAATGAACACAAAATCGCTAAGTACTTCCTAACCTTCTCACTTTGGGGAGGGCCTAAGCACATTATGCTCCCCCCAGGTATGATCTGGGGCTATAAACTGCAGCTCACCTTAAAGAATCATGGACACTTTAAGCAGTGGCAGGAGAAGCTAGCTGAAAAAGCACACGCAACAACTTCCCAATCACAGCAACCGAAACGTTCACTGTTCACATTTTTTTTTAAAAAAGACACACGTATAGGAAATATATTTTCCCAATTGAGAACACACAGTTCAAAGAAACCTGAACTAAGTGGAACTTCATGACAAGGCCAATCTCAGGATTGTAAAGCCCCCAAAGCAAAGGTAAATTTTGTTGCCAAAATGCAACAAAGTTACAAAAAAAAAAAAAAAAATACATATAAATTAAAAAGAAGGTTCCATAAAGAAGGCAGTAAGAAACGCAAAATAGAACACACGTGAGCTGGGTCTTTTGGAGAAGACTTGGGACAGGTTTTTCCCGGAAAAGAACTTCCCTCTCTCCAAGTCGCCGCGGGAGGGGGCAACAGCACCATGAAGGTAAACGGAAGTGACCTCGGCAAAACTACCAAACAAAACGCCCCCCTCCCCTCAGCTCTCCGGCCGGGTCCCTCCTACACGTGCGACAGGGACACCTGTTTGTGGTAGGCGGCGGCGGGGCCCGGCGGCCCGGTCCTGCCAGTGAGTGCGGCGCTGGCCTCGGGGTAGTCCCCGGCGGCCATGGCGCCCCCGCTCTTGTGGCCTCGCCGCGGGCGGCAGCAGCAGCGGCTGGTGAAACGCCGCCACGACTCCACCGTCTTGCCCGACCAGATCCAGACACCCGACGTGATGCCCACCACCAGGCACATGAAGTACTTGAGCATGAGCACCCAGTACTCGGGCTTGGCGCGCGGCTGGCCGGTGTCGGGGGCCGGGCAGGCGCAGGTGAGCGCCGCCTCCCAGCTCTCGCGGTAGTGTTGCTCGTACAGGTAGCAGGCCACCACGATGCTGGCGGGCACCGTGTAGAGCAGCGTGAAGATGCCGATGCGGATCATGAGCTTCTCCAGCTTGTCCGTCTTGGTGCCACCCTGCTTGATGACGCTACGGATGCGGAAGAGCGACACAAAGCCCGCCAGCAGGAAGAGCGTGCCCACCAGCAGGTAGAGCACCAGTGGGCCCAGCACGAAGCCGCGCAGCGAGTTCAGGTTTTGGTTGCCCACGTAGCAGATGCCGGCCACCGGGTCCCCGTCCACGGAGCTCAGCGCCAGCGCCGTGATGGACTTGACGCTGGGGATGAGCCACGCAGCCAGGTGGAAGTACTGCGCGTAGCCCGCAATGGCCTCGTTGCCCCACTTCATGCCGGCTGCCAGGAACCACGTGAGCGACAGGATGACCCACCAGATGGAGCTGGCCATGCCGAAGAAGTAGACCAGGAGGAAGACGATGGTGCACAGCGCAGGGCCCGTGGTCTCGTAGTGGATGTGGTTGTGCTCACGGCTGCAGGCCACGCTGGCATGGCCTACGACCAGGCGCACTAGGAAGCCCAGCGACACGCACAGGTAACAGGCGGACAGGAAGATGATGGGGCGCTCAGGATAGCGGAAGCGTTCCATATCGATGAGGAACGTGGCCACTGTGGTGGACGTGGAGATGAAGCACAGCACCGACCACAGGCCGATCCAGAAGGTGGCGAAAGTGCGCTCATCGGAACTGAAGGACGGCTGGTAGCAGGGTACCGCGCAGTTGGGCACCTGCCCCGTCCGCACCTTGTTGTAGAGCGGGTGTGACTCCTTCAGGATCGGCACGAAGGGATCGCGACACTTGCACACGGACGGGCCCCCAGCTGGGCATTCGCCCCCTGAGGCCGGCGCCCCTGGTGGGCCTGGAAGTGTGGGCTTGGCTGGGAAGGGCCTGGGGGGCGCCGTGGTGGCCTCGCTGCGGTTGTAATCCATGCACAGGACCTCGGCGTCGCGGCCCAGCACCGGGAGGCGGTCGCAGCTCATGCGCTCGGGCCAGGCGAAGCCGTACTGGCGCATGAGCGGCGAGCAGCCGGCCTTGGCGCGCTCGCACACCGAGCGGCAAGGCGGCAGCGGCTTGTGATAGTCGGGCAGGCAGATGGGCGTGTACATGGAGCACAGGAAGAAGCGCAGGTCCGGCGAGCAGTGGATCTCCACCAGCGGCCAGAACTGGTGCACCTCCAGGCCCGCCTCGTCCTGCGTGTCGTGGTTGAACTGGTTGGGCATGTGCGTCAGGTTGTAGCCGATGCCGCGGCACATGGGCACCGTGATTTCCTGGCACACCGGGGCCTTGGACGCGGCGGTCGCCCGGCCCGCCAGCTGCGCCAGGAGCAGCAGCAGCAGAGAGGGCGGCGCGGACGGGTCAGGCCGAGCCATCGCCCCCTCCCTCCCCTCGCTTCCAGTAACCCGCGAGAGACCCACGCAGGCAGAGAAATCCGGGCCGGGGCTTCTCCCTCCGGCGTCTCGTGTGTGGCGCCGGGGCTGGCAACCTGTTGGTTGCTTTTTCCTTTAAAGAAACCCGTCCAAAGATCGACTGCTTCAGGAAGGCGCTGCCTTCGCTGGCAGCGCTCCGCTCCTCGCCGAGTAGGGCTGGGGAGAGACGGTTAGGGCTTGGATTCCAGGGAAAGGACTCTTTAAAAAAAGAAGGGAGAGAAGATTGCAACCACTCCCGGTTAGAGGGGCGTCAACGGCTCGGTCCCCGCGAGCGGTCTCCAAATCTCTAAGTTAACCCCTCTCCTTTCCTCCCGCCTCCGCCTCCTGGAACCAAACTACTGACTCCCCCACCCTCTCTTTCCAAGCTGGGCCCTCCAGGCAGTACCCGGAGAAAAGGCTCAGCCTCCCGGAAAAAGGCACAGGAACCGGGCGGGAGAAGAACAGGGAGAAAGGGAAGGCTCTCACCTCCACGGATCCCGCCGAGAGGAGCAGACAGTCCGAAGCCAGCCTGGGTCCTCCGTCCCTGGGACACTTCGCTGAGAAGCGCGACTCAGAGCTGGGCCGGCGGCGGGAAAGTTTAGCGACAGGCTGGGTACCCGTGGCAGCGGCACATGGCAGCAGGTGGGGGCGACTCAGAGAGGGGGGCGCCCCCAGAACAGGCGCGGCGCAGGCCGGTCACTAGCCCTCTCCTCCTCGGGAGCCCCCCGCATGATCCAGAAGGGGCCGGGCAGGGGCAGGCCGTGCGTTCTCCCCGGGGCCGGGAGTCGGACGGAGGGCGAGCGCGCCTGGCAGCACCTGGGCGGGATGCGGGCGCCGAGGGATCCCACCGACTCACAGCACCGCGAGCAGCCGGCGCTGGCCGGGCCGGGACTGCATAGTGCGCGCTCGCCGCTGCGTCCCGCCCGCCGCTCGCCTCCTCCCCTGCAGGGGGCTCCGCGCTCCAGTGGACTCCGGGGGGCGGTGGCGGCGCTCTCGGGACGCGCCCGGCTCGGCTCCTCCCCCGCGTTCTCGCACCCTTTTGCCCAGCTCGGGCGAGTACGGAACCTAGCGTGGCGGCGGCGATAGTGGAGTCACGGCCGCGGGCTGGCTGCCCTCTCCCGCCCCGCCCGGGTCACCTGCTTCTAATGCCTGCCGGGAGGCCCCGCCCCGGCTCCGCCCCCTCAGGCCCGGGCGCGGTTGGTGGGCCGCCTCGCCACGCTCTCCGCGCGTCCCCGCCCACTGCCCCGCGGGCTCGGCCTTTTCCCCCATCGCCCTCCGGCCCCGCCCGGAGCGAGCCGCCTGGGAGCGCTGACCAATCGCGGGCCGAGAGGCAATGGCGGCGGGGCGAATGCTAATTACGCCGAACCCGGTCGGGAAGCCCCGGCCAGAAGTCCCTCCGGAGTTCTCTGCCCGCGCCCTGGGTACAGGACTCGCTCCTGTAGCGTCCCGCCTTATGCACCTTTGCTCCTCGGGCCCCGGCCCTTTCTGGCTGCAGGGAAGCGTCCTTATAGAGTTCAGTGCTTCTTTGAAAGAACTGCTCAAAGTACCATTCTTAGCCGTGGCTCCTGTCTCCCTTCTGCGCTGACTTGGAGCTGTGTGAAAGAAGAGAGAATACTTACTGAGCCTTTTACCGTGTGCCCACCGAGTGTTCATCGCTTACCTCTTAAGACGAGATCGCACTCAGTACTACAATTCTGAGGCACGTAATCTTTACAGGTGAAGAAACCAAGACTTCGACTCGGCCAAGGCAACCGAGCTAGTCGTAGTTCCCCAAGAAAGGGCGACCTCGGCGAGTTCACCGCCGTATTCCGAGCGCCTGGCACATAGTAGGCGCCTAAATGGCAACCCTGGGATTCGAACCCAGGTAGAGGCTGCGGCATTCACTGTCGCAGCCACCCCTCCCCTATACGATCGCAGTCTCCCTGGCTTCGACCTTTACTTTTGCATCTCGGAACAAAATCTTGATGTGACAAGAAAGTGGATTTCTTTCTGCCTTTAGAAAACTCAGATGTGAGTCCTTTATTAGCCGAGGTTTATAATCCGAAGTCGCCTGCAGAGAGAAGCGACACCGACTAAGGGCTCTGTGCTGGGCAGGGCGCCGGCCTCCCGGTCCCCTCCCGCTCCGGGCTGCCCGCTGCTTAGCCGCGCACTCGCGCGCCGCGGGGGGCGGAGGGCGCAAGGATGGCGGGGACGCGGCAACGCTCTTCAGCTGAGCTATTATGCTGCAAGTTTTAAATGTCCTAAAAATGCCTCTTTTCTATGTGTTCTAATTAGATTGGAAGATTGAGGTATTTAGCATACTTGAAATTTATTCACACGCTTAGGAAGAGGGTTGAAATTGTTTCCTTCTCCCCAAACTCGTCCTTCCACTAGGCAAAGGGTGAAACTAGGCAAGAGGGCCTGGGGACACTTGAAGGGATAGAGACTGGACTAACTGGACCAGATCCACATCAACCGCGGTTTATTGTCGATTGTCTGTCCTGGATCCCATAGGCACAGGTTGGAAAAAAGCGCCACTCCCCTCCTGCCTATCAACAACGCTTTGTGGGCAATAATGAAGAAAAAAATGTATGAATCCCAGCCTCCATGTTAAAAAGCAACAAATATCAATCACTTTGCAGATATCAAAACTATTTATTTTATTTATTATTATTATTTTTTAAAGATGGCTTTCACCATGATGGCCAGGCTGGTCTTGAACTCCTGACCTCAGGTGATCCACCCACCTTGTCCTCCCAAAGTGCTAGGATTACAGGCGATATCAAAACTATTAATAATACATGTTTAAAAGGCGGGGCACCATGGCTCATGCCTGTAATCCTAACACTTTGGGAGGCTGAGGTGGGAGGATGGCCTGAACCCAGGTGATTGTAGACCAGCCTGAGCAACATAGCAAGATCTCCCCACTCTAAAATACATAAATAAATAAATGAATAAATATACATGACATCTTTCATTCTCTGGAATTCTACAGGTGTTCATATTTTATCTCTTGTGTTTTGGAACTACTTGGCGATCTGGGTCAGAGAGCATCCCAGGATTGAAAATAGTGGGAGTTGAAAAGCTGTGGGCATAGCAGTGAAGAAGAAAGGGCAGCCCTCAGTGGAAACTATGTGCAGACTGTGAACATGCCAAGGGAGGCCCATCTCATTCTGTGCTCTTTATGTAACGTGTATATTACTGGGGATGAACAAGTGTTGGCTAATAATAAAAATTATTTGAAGTTGGAGAATGTTAATCATTCACACTGGAATTTAGCCAGAATATTTGTGTTATTTCACACGGTTCTGTCAGAGGCATTTGAACCAGAGCAACTCCATCTTGGATAGGGACTGGGTAAAATAAGGCTGAGACCTACTGGGCTGCATTCCCCAGAGGTAAAGGCATTCTAACTCACAGAATGAGATAGGAGGTCAGCACAACATACAGGTCATAGAGACCTTGCTGATAAAACAGGGTGCAGTCCAGAAGCTGGTTAAAACCCACCAAAACCAAGATGGTAGGGAGAGTGACCTCTGGTTGTCCTCACTGCTCCTTACACCTTAATTATAATAGGTTAGCATGTTAAAAGACACTCCCACCAATGCCAAGGCATTGTTTACAGATGCCATGGCTACTGTCTGTAAGTTACCCTGTGTGGTCTAAGATGGGGAGGGAGCTTCAGTTCCAGGAATTGCGTGCCCCTTTCCCGGAAATTCATGAATAATCCACCCCTTATTTAGCGTATAATCAAGAAATAACCATAAAAATGGGCAACCAGCAGCCCATGCTGCTGCTTTGCCTGTGAAGTAGCCATCCTTTACTTTCTTTTTCTGTTCTTTCTTTCCTTGTTTTTTTTTTTTTTTTTTTGAGACAGTCTTGCTCTGACTCCCAGGCTGGAGGGCAGTGGTGAGATCTCAGCTAACTGCAACCTCTACCTCCGGAGTTCAAGCGATTCTCCTGCCTCAGCCTCCCAGGAAGCTGGGACTACAGGCCTATGCCACAACACCTGGCTAATTTTTGTATTTTTAGTAAAGTCGGGGCTTTGCAATGTTGACCAGGCTGATCTGGAGCTCCTGGGCTCAGGTGATCCACCCACCTTGGCCTCCCAAAGTGCTGAGATTACACGCGTGAGCCACCGCACCTGGCCCTTTCTTAACAAACTTGCTTTCATTTTACTCTATGTACTCACCCCAAATTCTTTCTTGTATGAGATCCAAGAACCCTCTCTTGGGGTCTGGATTGGGACCGTCTTCCAGCAGCGGTTTTGGAGCAAACAATATTATCCACTAGTTTGTAAACCTTTTCTTTATCAATAGCAAAATCTTAGTTTTGCTTGGAGATCTCTCTCTCTCTCTTTTTTTTTTTTTTTTTGTTGAGACGGAGTTTCACTCGTTACCCAGGCTAGAGTGCAATGGCGCGATCTCGGCTCACCGCAACCTCCGCCTCCTGGGTTCAGGCGATTCTCCTGCCTCAGCCTCCTGAGTAGCTGGGATTACAGGCATGCGCCACCATGCCCAGCTAGTTTTTTTGTATTTTTTTTTTTAGTAGAGACGGGGTTTCACCATGTTGACCAGGATGGTCTCGATCTCTTGACCTCGTGATCCACCCGCCTCGGCCTCCCAAAGTGCTGGGATTACAGGCTTGAGCCACCGTGCCCGGCCGGAGACCTCTAATAATAATAGTAATAGCAGAAAACTTTATGGAAAGAAACTTATTTCAGCTGGGCAAGGTGGCTCATGCCAGTAATTTCAACACTTTGGGAAGGCGAGGCTGGAAAATCACAGGAGTTCAAGACCAGGCTTGGCAATATAGTGAGACCTTGTCTAAAACAACAACAACAACAACAACAACAACAACAACAAAACTAGAGAGAGAGAGAGACATTTCATGTTGTATACCTTTTTATATTGTATTGTGTTACTTTTTGTCTATATTTTAAAGGCAGTTTAAAATATGCTGACTGTTTAACATGTATTAAGAAGGGTGCTAGACCTCATTTTATCCTCAGATGAAGAAACTGGCCCCATAATGACTTTAATGACTTGCTTGGAGTTATTTATTTAGTCTATAGAAAGAGAGTAGAAATAAAAAATTTCAGCCTGGTATAGTGGCTCATGCCTGAAATCCCAGCACTTTGGGAGGCTGAGGTGGTAGGATCATGGGGTCAGGAGTTCAAGACCAGCCTGGCCAAGATGGTGAAACCCCATCTCTACTAAAAAGGCAAAAATTAGCTGGGCATGGTGGCAGGCACCTGTAATCCCAGCTACTCAGGAGGCTGAGGTAGAGAATTGCCTGAGCCTGGGAAGGGGAGGTTGTAGTGAGCTGAGATCTCACCACTGCACCCCAGCTTGGGTGACAGAACGAGACTCCCTCTCAAAAAAAAAAAAAAAAAAAAAAAAAGGTATACACCAAGGTGACTACAGTTCATTAACAACATGTTGTAAAGGGGAAAATTGCTAAGAGAGCAGATTTTAAGCGTTCTCACTACAAAAAAAATGTAAAGTATATAGAGGTAATGCATATGTTAATAGCTAGATTTAACCATTCTAGAAAGTATACATATGTCAGAACATCATGTGGTACATCATAAATATATACAATTGTTATTTGTCAATGAAAAAATAAAATACCTCACAATTTTCATCTGAGTCATACTTTATTACCCAACAAACTAGAAAACACTGATTTTTTTTTTTTTTTTTTTGGTGGGGGGACAGGGTCTCGCTCTGTCACCTAGGCTGGAATGCAGTGGCCTGATCTCGACTCACTGCATTCTCTGCCTCCTGGGCTCAAGTGATCCTCCTTCCTTAGCCTCCTGATTAGCTGGGACTACAGGCATGCACCACCATGCTTGGCTAATTTTTAAAAAACTTTTTGTAGAGACCAGGTTTCACTATGTTGCTGAAGCTGGTCTTGAACTCCTGGACTCAGGCAATCCTTCCACCTCAGCTTCCTGAAGTGTTAGGATTACAGATGTGAGCCACTGTGCCCAGCCAATTTTTTTAAAAGATGCAATGTTAAGCATTTAGAACATTGCTAAGCATCCTTGTCTATTTATTCACTCATGTATTCTTCCATCTATCAATTCATCTGTTTATTCAGCAAACATCAAATTTCTGAGTTGA